TCTGAAATGTATCGAGGATAGTCTTCTGTTGGTTCTTCATTTGTGTACCAGTCCTGAGCACTATCCTCTTTCACCTTTTGCCTTTTCTTCAGCCATAACTTTGAACGAGAAAGATGGAGAAGTTGCAGGATGGATATAGACGGTGAAGGATTTCCCGCCTTCAGGAGTCTCTCCTTGATGGAGTCCTCGGTATCAGTGGAATTGGCCATTGACGAGATCTTTTTTCTGTGGGCAGTTTCGTATAGAGGATGTGCTGAGCAGGGGTTGTACTGTATGTCCGTAGCACCACAAATAAAAAGTGCCCAGTATTACTAGTGCATTGATAGAGTTTTTGAATTGAGTTAGGATTCTGAATACATTGCAGTGTAGTAGAATACAATCATGTATAATATTGATCTATGCAATCTTTAAAATTTTGAAGAGGCCCTTCGACTCCATGTTTCAGGCTTTCGGGATAAGGGATACCTCTACGAGCTGCTGTTTCAGGCCAACTGACCACTGGGGAGGGGCGGTCAGTTCGGTGCCATTTTTGGGCTGGCAGCCCTGAGACATGCCGACTGACACCTATAGTTTTCGGGCTGACCGGGATGAGAGACATATAGGAATTAGCGGGGGTCCTGTCAATGTCGACTAGACTTGGAGCGCCTAGGCCGTAACACAAACTGATGAGGACGAATAAAGTAACAAAGTTCAGGTTCAGGCTTGGGAGATCGAGTAATAGCCGGGGAAAAGACCAGCTCGAAGCTGGTCTATTATGATATTGTGCAGGAGTATTTATACTAGGAGGAAATACAGGAGTAACATAGTACGTATGATCCATACTCTACTGTAGTATGTCATTAAGGTGGATGTAGGACTATATCTATGATTGAGACGGATACTGGGACTGTATCTACGATTGAGATGGATACTGGGATAGTAGAAATGGGGAGGAAAGAATGGAAGCTGGAGCTACGTGCGGTTAAGCCAGAAAGGAGGGTCGGCGTTCAGCATTGTATACCGAAGGTTCGGAAAGGCGATTTGAGGAAGATTCATGACATTACCCCACCTCTAAGGATTGTGTCCTCACAATCGGATGTAGGATGCGAGAGTATGCACCATCTTCCCAACCGAACAGTTGTTTGGGAACATGTGTAGGACGCGTCAGGTTTTCGATGTATTGGAAGGGAGGAGTGAATCCGAGTCGCCGGTTTCTTGGTGGGATGCGTAAGATGATTGGTCTCGGTGCGGACGGGTTCTTTTCATGGAATGCATCTACTAGAAGGGGCACTCATCTGCGAATGGTAGTGGCGGGCTTCCATTCCATCTCGTGATGAGGTTTGTCCTTGTAGCATACCATGTATTGCAATCCGATTGGCTCCTTTACTCGCAAATCCATTATTTCTATTATGTCTCAAGTGTCATGATCGATGACAATGTTGGGAGGAGTGGGATGGTTGTGCGGCTGCGTGGGGAATTGAGGGAGAATGTAGGGGGTTATAAGACTCTTGTTGACTACAGGGTGAATTCCACGCCATTTATGGGGAATGTGAAGCTTATAAGCGGAAGGGGCAATTTTCGCAATGATTTTGAAACGGCCAAATTGTCGATCGTCCAGTTTTTTCATAGGATGGTCGGTATGGATGTTTGTTCCTTCGAGCCACACACTGTCTCCAATTTGGTACTTGCGGGAGTCTTGGCGTTTCCGATCGTAGTAAGTCTTCATGGTTTCCTGCGCAAATTTCATAGCAGCCGAGGCTTCTTCCTGAATAGCATGAAGTTGGTCTGCAAACTGTTGAGCGGAAATGTTGGGGGTGGTACGCGCTGCTGTGGTTCCCTTCCAAGGGTGTCTCCCGTAGGTGAGGTAGAATGGTGAGTGCCTGGTGGATGAGTGGATTTTGTCATTGTAGGAGAACTCTGCGAGCGGAAGCCACTGGGCCCAATCATTCTGGCGCTGATTAACGAAAATGCACAGATATTGCTCAATTTCCTGATTGACCCGTTCTGTTTGCCCGTCCGTTTGGGGGTGGTAGGCAGTAGACAAATTCCCTTCAATGCCGAGAATCGAGTACAGGGATTTAGTGAACTTGGCAGAGAATTGGAGTCCACGATCACTAATGATCTTATGTGGTAGTCCAACGTCTCAGAAGACTCGGTCAATGAAAAGACGGGCATATCCTTCAGCATTCAGATCTATATTGGTGGGAATCGACCAGAGACGTTTACTTTTATGATCAATCACATTCATGATCGCGTCATATCCGTTTGAGTCAGGAAGTTGCCCGATGAGATCGACGGACATGATGGAGAAATTGCCGTCCGGTATTTCATGAGGATAGAGAGGTGCGGCTTTCTTGAGATGACTGATCTTGGTGCATTGGCAAATAACGCATTCCTGGATGTATCAACCAACATCTCGTTGAATTGCCGGCCACCAATAATCTCGGAGAATGAGTTCGTGGGTTTTGTAATGCCCCGGATGTTCAGCGGTGAGAGAATCATGGTTGCTTCTGATGATGGATTCTCGCAACTGGTTGTCGCGAGGGACGTAGATGCGTCCCTTCCAGGTGGTGATACCCTCGTGTTCCTTCCAGTCAGGGTCATTTCTTTGAAGTGCCTGTTGGATGATTCGGTCCTGATTGGAATGAACTCGATGAATGCGGTCCAATGTTGTGAGAGAAGTTCCTTCCAGAACAAGTTCCATGACCTGAGAGCAGAAGTGGTGGGGCTTTAGCATGACAAGATCTTCATTGTCGTGTTCTCCTTGGTAATGTCCAGCTCATCTAGACAACAGGTCACCCTTGACATTCTGCTTGCCTGGTTTATGATAGAGGAGAAAGTGGTAGTTGGATAGTTCCGTTATCCACCGGGCTTGGCGGCGATTAAGTTTCTGGGGTTTCTGAAAGTAGCTGAGGTTTTTGTGATCAGTCCAAATCTCGATGTCGTGAGTGGCTCCCATCAGGTAGTGTCGATATTCATCAAGTGCCATCATGATTGCTAAGAGTTCCTTGTCATAGACTTCATAGTTACGTTCAGCGGGGTTCATGGCTTTAGACAAGAAGGCGATGGGTTTCCATTTATCATTTTGCTGTTGAGAGAGGACTGCGCCTATGGCAAAATTGGAGGCGTCGCACTCCAGACGGTAAGGATCGGTGTCTGTGGAAATGGCGAGAGTGGGAGCAGTGGTTAAGCGCATCTTTAGTTCTTCGAATGCTAGTTCTTGATCAGATTCCCAGGACCAATCGGCTTTGCCAGTGAGAGAGGTGAGGGGTTTAGCAAATTCTCCGTAATCCTTGATGAAGCGGCAGTAGAAGTTTGTAAATCCCAAGAAGGCTTGAACCTCTCATTTGTTACTCGGTCGAGGCCAACTCTTTACTCCAGCGACCTTGACAGGGTCCATCGCTACCGTCCCTTCTGAGATTATCATCCCCAAGTACTCAGTTTCGAGTCTCTCGAACTCACATTTTTCATCTTTGAGGTAAAGCTTGTTCTCTCGTAGGATTTGGAGAACCTCTCAGGTAACCCGCCGGTGTTCTTCCAGCGAGTGAGTAAAAATCAAGATGTCATCCAGATAGACGACGATGACATTGCGAGTGATGAGATCGCAGAATAAGTCATTCATCATCATTTGGAAGGTTGCGGGGGAGTTGGTCAAGCTGAAGAACATCACCAATGGTTCGAATAGGCCCCGATTGGTCCTGAAGGTGGCCTTCTATTCATCTCCTTCTCGAAGTCGGACATTATTGTAGCCCCACCGCACATCAAGTTTGGTAAAATACCGCGCGCCTTTCAACCTCCCGATGAGCTCTTGGACTAATGGAAGCGGATAGCGATTTTTTATCGTCATGTCATTGAGTTTGCGGTAGTCTTGGATGGGACGTAACTTCCCATCCTTTTTCTTGACGAAGAAGAAGGGGGAGGCCATTGGAGACTTGGAAGGTTGTATTCTTCCAGAGTGTAGGTTTTCTTCCAGGAATTCGTCCAATTGTCTTTGTTCTTCTGGAGATACCGGATAGATTTTGCAATCAATCAGTTTAGATCCAGGCGTTAACTCTATTGCGTGGTCCCAAGGCCATCGATCTGGTAATTTGTCAAAGGATTCCTTGGCAAATACATCCTTGAAGTCATGATAGGCTGGTGGAACAATCTTTTCAAAGGAGAGTTTCTCTTTTCGCTTGTATTGTTCTTCAGCAAGCTCAATGGATGTAGACGTCTTGGATCGAATATGAAATTCTTTATCATCTTTGCGGGATGACGCATAAGATGACCAGTCGAGTACGAATACTCTATCTCCATCTTCTAGAGGATCCTCCAGATCCTTGGAGTAATTGAGATCATTTTTGACATCATCTGGGTGTGAGGGGAGTTGGATAGAGTGTCCGCAGTCAAGTGGGCAATGGTCAAAGGTGAGGACGGAAGTTCACCAGTCGACATTAGGGTTGTGATGTTGAAGCCATTCATGGCCTAAAAAGAGTGTATTCTTGCCGAGGTTAGTGACTGCGAATTGGATTTTTTCTGTGTGAGATCCAATTTTCATTATGAGTTCAACGAATTCTCGGATAGGTCCGGAAACGTTGAAAGAACCATCGGCATTGTATACTGGAATGGGAAAAGGGAGTGGGTATGTGGAAAGATTGTGTTCTTTGACGAAAGCATGATCAATAGAGGAACCGGTACAGCCGCTGTCCAGGAGACCGGTGATGTGGAACAAATGTTGGTCATCGGTGGTTTGAAGAACCATTTTGACATTGGTTTGATTACCTCGCCCTCCTCGAATGAATTGTTTTCGTTGATGAAGCTCGTGAAGAGCTTTAATTGATGAGGAGTGATCTAGATCGCGGAGATCATCAAGAGTCCGGTGAGTTGCCTCGCGTGTGCATTTGGAATGGACCCAGATCTGCAAGATACCGATGGCTCGATCGTTCTTTTCACGGATATGATCATTGACCCATTCAGCGGTCCAGGCAGGTGGGGCGTTAGGCAATCTTAGATGCAGTTTGGGTGTAAAAGGAGTAGAATTAGAGAAGATCTGGTTTTTGTTTTTATGTACACAAGAGTCGTTGGTCTTTGGGGACGCGTCCCCCCTAGACCGCTTCAAAAATCCTCGTCAGAAGAGTCATCGTGCTTGCTTTCGACATCTCCTCCATTCTCTTCTTCCACTTTGTCCTCAACTTCCTTGACAAATCCCCTTGCTTCCTCAACGCTGACGATACCAGCGAGGTGACGAATACTGAAACCCTTGTTTTTAGGGCAGGCGCGAGCAACATGACCCTTCTCGCCACAAGTAAAACACTTGCCGGCCCTACAGTAGGCATCGATATCCATCGGTTCACCTGATCCACCAAAGGTTGTACCCGTACCGTCGGAATGAGCAGGGGTCTGAGAAGTAGATGCAGACATGGCAGATGTAGATCCGCTACTTCAGTTTCCCATATAGCACCCTGCGTTATTAGATGAGGACTGGGCACCATACGTAGAAGCATTGGTGTTGCCCTTCGTAGAGGTACGAGCTCTCACATCGATTAATTTCTCGTCGGCTTCATAAGCGCGCCACTCCCTATCATGAGCTAGGGCTTTTCTCTTCCAGAGAATGAGGGTAGCAGGGTTGCCGTTGGTAGCAACTTGCTTTCGCAAGGCATAAGGTAACCCTGTCTTGAAGTGGCCGAGAAGAGCCTCATCGTTGTACCCGGTATCATCCTCGTAGGTTTCGAAGGCGAGGACATAATCGTCACAAGTACCATCCATGTGGAGAGTTTTAATCTTGCGCTGGGCGGTAGCTTTGGGATTAGGATCAGCAAACTTGGCGCAAAGGTCAATTTCAAATTGGGCCCAAGTGGGAGGAGGAAGATTGGGGTCGGCCAGTTTCTTATCATAAAGTTGTGCCCACTTGCCGGCTGTGCCAGTCTTCATGTAAGAGAGGGCATAGACAACTCGATTATTGTCAGAATGAGGGTGCTGAAACGATGAAGATCGGCAGCGAAGTTCATTGTTAAACTGTGTGTGAAGTCATTGAACTTCTCTTTGTCTCCCGTGTAAGCGTCAGGAGGACAAATTTTCATTCGGGAGTTTCTTCCCGCCGGCGAGGTGAGGTTACCGGTGTTAGCGGTGTTGGCAGAGGCACGGACCGCATCGGTGGTGCTAGTAAGGATATGGCTAAAAGAAGTCTGAATCTGTGCACGAAATTGTTCAACATCTTGAATGATGATTTGTTGGTGATTGATGTGCTGTTCGCTAATGAGTAGTTGTTCCTGGAGAGAATGAACTTGTTCTTCCAGTGTTGGAGTATCGTCGACAACCTCCATGGGAGGAGGAGAGTTGCCTTCGCCTTGGTTCGCCATCGTGACGAATAAGGGAGTCGAAATTGGTTTCTTCTGGTGTTCTTCGGTGATCTAGGAACTAAAGTTCCGATCAACACATAGCTTCTGTTCAAAAAGATAAAAATATGGGGGAGGTGATAGTAGCTAGAGGAGTTGCAGTAGGATAAGGATATGAGACAGGAATAGGGAATAGATGGTGGTAGATAGGGTGAAGAAGAGGTAAGGTTTGTGTAGTAGAGTAGGAGGATAGCTTTGAGCTTATGTCAACGTCGACTAGACTTGGAGCGCCTAGGCCGTAACACAAACCGATGAGGACGAATAAAGTAACAAAGTTCAGGTTCAGGCTTGGGAGATCGAGTAATAGCCGGGGAAAAGACCAGCTCGAAGCTGGTCTATTATGATATTGTGCAGGAGTATTTATACTAGTAGGAAATACAGGAGTAACATAGTACGTACGATCCATACTCTACTGTAGTATGTCATTAAGGCGGATGTAGGACTATATCTACGATTGAGACGGATACTGGGACTATATCTACGATTGAGACGGATACTGGGATAGTAGAAATGGGGAGGAAAGAACGGAAGCTGGAGCTACGTGCGGTTAAGCCAGAAAGGAGGGTCGGCGTTCGGCGTTGTATACCGAAGGTTCGGAAAGGCGATTTGAGGAAGATTCATGACAGGTCCTGTCTAAATTTCGTGTATGCATCCAACAGCAAGACTGGATTAGCTAAGTCTATAATGGAAGGAACGACTATCTTCCTTCCTTGAGGTTTGTTAAGGAGACTAGGAGTAGCTCTCAGGCCAACGTCCATCAGTTGCAGTATCATCTCAGTTCCGTCAGAGCGCTAACCGAGTGTTGGCCTCCTGCCCGCAGTCTGCTGTATGACCAGCTCTCAGGTCCATCCTTGATGAAGCGCAACGCAATCCATAGGACGCTCGCTAAGCCTGGCTCGTGTTGTGACGGCCATACCACCTGCTCACCTGGATGGCCAAAGAGGTAGAAGGTATCGTATAGCGCACCCGTGACTTTGTATGACTTTGTCTACAGTGTCTCCGATGTGCACGCGTGCAATGATTCTGATCATCCACTCCCTCCCGAACAGCTGCAGGCTTCGTGCAGGGTAAAAAATGAATTTCATACTCCATTCAAGTATGAGAAGCTGAGATGTCTCCTTGTGGCAAACCGTAGTAAGCCTGTTGTTGAGCTACTTTATTCATCCTTCCCTCACTATCATATTTTGTAGAATTCGCTGTCGCCAGGACGCCGGGAAATACGGCAGCCGATTATACTCTCGACAAAAGTGCCAGTGAATTGCCGTCTTCCCGAGATCTGTCAGGTATAACTAACGTCCAATTGCGTCAGAAACTAGCAGCATACTGTCTCACGTATTCTCACTCCGCGTGCTCATTCTAGGATTGACGGCCTATGATCAGGCTCTTCAGCCAAAATGGTTCAGCTTGTCCATTTGCTGAAGTTGACGCCACTGACCGAGACGTCTCTTGTTTTCTCAATCCACTAGTTCCCTCGACATAGTCAATTATCTTGACTGAAAGCTCCCCGAGATCGCTGAAGTGAAGTACATGCAGCCTACTCCTCGGACGTTAGGAGCCTTGACCGTAACCTGCCTGTACCAGCACGGTTGAGGTCTGTTTTGCAGCGGATGAACAAACTGTGCACTGAGAGAAGTGAATATTTTAGTACGCAATAATGTGTAGGTCCTTGGTCTTCTCATGCTTTTCTATTACTATTCTGCAGTGTATATGGTATGTTCAAGGTGCTTTGCTCCTGGAGAGTAATTATTGGACAGAAATCACTGTGAGTACGACTTATTCTTCGAACCATGCGCGACAAAATGGATCATTGTCGACAACTCACGATCGGCCTGAGTATGTCGCAATGTATCGCAGGGTATAACAATGCACATAAGTATCCAGATATCAAACATTGTGGTCGTCAAAAGTCGTCAAGTTCGTAAATGTTTTTCATCATACGTCACCGTAATATTGTCAGTCATCTCCAGCGCCATCGTCTAAACCGTACATGCCTTCGCCCCCTTCTGGTAGTCTCTCCACCATGTACTCAACTTCCTCTCGCAAATCATCACAGTAGCGCTCTAAGGAAGGGAGAAGAGTTATTGGGTTGAGCAAACACTGCCCACTGGGTAGTAACTTAACACACCTAGCGGAAGATCAAACTTGTCCAAGCCTAGTACGTTTCCATATCAAAATTACTCTGCGATCTCATAACGTGCGCAACGTACCGAAAGGCATCTCAATCTCATCCGCGATGCCCTCGATACCCATTAATGTGAACGCTACGACCGTGACGAGGGGTACCATTCCCCAGCTGAGTTCCTTGACAAGTGTGAACGGGAGAGCGAAGAGGTACAATGTAACGGTTTGCTTCAAGTGGATGCTATATGATCTCGGAATGGGGGTGTTGGCGACACGTTCCATCGCTGTCAGCATGTCTACCATTCCTTGCACCCTATGGAGAACACTATAAGTTGACCACGTATAGGTAGCGCGCAGAACTTACAATGAATTTAGTGAGTTAGTACCTTAAATTAATGGCGTCAAGAAATATACATCCTGGAGATACATTCAATCTGCTCACCGGCTGGACCGACAGTCTCAAGATAACCTTCCTTCTTGAATGTGAAAATAACGTGCGAGAGCTCGTGAGCTATCACAAGAGGTAAAGGTGTAGACAACATGTCAGGATCGGTGTTAAAGTCGATGGTCTGATGCAAGGAGCTCAGCAATGGCATTGTAGGCGATTTAACACCAGGCTGCTTCAGTCTGTCCTTGCTCCTTTTCACCCGGATGCGCTTGGTGGCATCTGCCCGCCGGATTTCGGCATCAGCAGATGACCCTTCCACCTCGTCCCCGCTTTCAGCCCTCGAGTTGCTTCGAGACGTTTGGGCAGTCGCCGAGTAAGAGGTCCATGTAGATGTCTTGCGGGAAGCCGGACCCTGGGCAGCTAATCGCATGAGCGAGGCAGGAATGAGACCGGTATAGTCAACCCAGTCGAGACCATCCTCGCCACGGAGGTAATGCTTGCACGCGAAAGCAAAGCAGATACCGAGCTTGAGGGCTTCTACTTTCTTCCGCCTCAACTGCGTTGCAGAGAGGCTCGCAGCAGGAAGTTTGCCTTTGGAGTTGTCGTCAATGGGAGGAACGGCAACGTTAATCCAGATGAGACGTGACAGATTGCGTATCTTGAAAGCGTTTTGAGTATAACGTCGCATCACTGAATATTACACACGAACATGAGATATCATGGTACCGAAGTCCTTTCTGCCTTCATAGTAACGATCGTAGGAGGTACTGCAAAGTTTGCGTTAGTCATGGCAGATGGAATCGTTGATATGTTGACTGACCCGTTCCTAAAGAAGTGAGGGTTGGGGGGTTAGTGAGGGTCAAAACGACGTATTCCAAGTGGCACACCTGAATACCAGTATGAGCCCGATCTAGGAAGACCCGTCAGTATTGCCACGAGATAGACACGTTTCAAAGTACTCACAACGACAGAGAAGAGGGGAACAACAGAGTTCGAAAGTGTGATATTGATCCCTCGAGAGAAAGCGTACGCGACAGCAGTTGCGAAGAGGGTGACGGTCATGACAGGACCGAAGATACGAGGGACAATCTATGCATGAATGACATATGCATTAAGACAAAGTGGATGTATGGAAACACTCACGCTGCCCTGCAAACGGAGTACATCTGGCAACCAAGAATACTACGAATACGATGATTAGGTCAATGATACGAATGACGGAGTAGCATGTAGATTCTCGCACCTTTCTGAGGTGTTGTCGTGATATGAGCTTCCTCTATCCACACCCATATAGCAACACTGCACGTTAGACATAGACATGGATTTGGATTAAGTTGACTCACCCGAGGAAGAGACACTTTGAGCGTCGCAGTTTTGACCGTCAGTATACCGACTGACATGGTAATTGCAGTAGTCCTCTTGATACCTGTTCGACCAACCACTTCAAGAATCAACCAACAGGTGAAGATGGTGGTCAAGACAAGAGCTGATGAAAGAAGATGTGGGTGAACATGGGCCACAGGAACATCGCAGGCATCGGCGATTGATTGAGTTGCGGCACAACTTGCGAGTGGCTCAGCGGCAAGACTTGTCTCCTACCTTCATCTTCGTTGTCTTTCCTCTCCGCTTTTCAGTCACTTTTGCTCTGGAACCGGAATATTTCAATAATGCGAATCAGACTTCAAAGCTCGCCTTCACTTCCTTTCTTCAAAGCCTGGTTCTGCCCGAAATCTGAGACGTCCATACTTGAGCTCAAGCAGAACATCTGTGCCGATGTTCAGGCTCTTCGTGAAGCTGACATTGTAGCACAAGATGTAACTCTACTTTTGGATGACTTTGAGCTCTTGGAATCTAGTCCTCTCAACGTGATACGTGACGGAGACCTCATATTGTAAGTTGGTTCCTCACGAGACTCATTAGTATCCAACGAAAGCTCTCATAATAGCCGTTATCCAGTGTAAAACGTACCGCTGTACAATCTAGCAAAAGGAAAGCAGACCATGTTGGTACGTTGCAAGATTACTGACCCCCTTGCATGAGCTCACGTCTCTGTAGATGATAATGTAAAAGCAAAGCGAAGAAAAGTATCGCGTATCGCTACTCTTAGCCCACCGCCCGTTGCCCCTGCTCAAGCCAGACAAACTGCTATTCCACCCAACAAAGCTGCAAGTCAACGTCCTGATTATGAATCCGATTCTTCCTCTCCATCGTCTTCAGACTCGGAGCTAGAATCTTCAAAACCATCGTCCTCAGAATCCAGTTCTGCTGAGTCATCGTCGGATTCGGATTCAGATGAAAGCAGAACTTCATCTGAGTCTGCACCTACCAGTCTGCCAAGCAAGCCGACTAAACCCATTACTCAGCCTGCAAACGTTTCACAGTACGTGCTGATACCCTACGATCATTCGAGATTGTACTCACTTTTGTCCAGGGAACATCTCATTCACCATATCCCACCCGGTCACGGCAAATCTTCCACGCATAATCGCAACTTACGAAGACGTCGTAAGAAGCAATTCGAAAAGCTCGCGTCGCAAACGGAACCAAAAAGTGTAAATGACATTCCTCTTGGAAAAAAGGATATACCACTTCAGTTGAACAAGTCTATTTCCAACACACCTGGACCTTCGACTTCCCCAGACAAAACCCCCGCTCCGGGGATTATGATGGCCAGCCTTTCGAATAAGAACAAACGCAGGGGCTTCAAGAACACCATGACGAACCCCCTCGCAGCTAAAATCGTGTTCGATTCTTCGGACGAGGCTCAAAATCAGACTGCAGAGACCAGAGGGGCTTCCCAAGTCGTGTCTGAGGCTCTGCCCTTTGCAGAGGCGCCCAGGGACGAAATCGTCAGTGCGTCCTGGACAACTCGACCTCGCCTAATACCCCCGTCGGAGAAGCAGGAGAATGGACTGATCCCTTCGAATATGTTCGTGACCAGCGTGGACGTGGAGGAGGGCTTGCGACCCCAGAAACGCAAAAAGAAAGCTCGTGCTGTTGCCGAGGCTGAAGCTGAAGTTGAGATGGACTTCTTGGATTACGGAGAGGCAGACCAATCAGTCGATGTGGTTACGACTCAACGTTCGCCAGAGAGGACTGCAGTGCCTATTCAGGCGTGGACCGATGTTGCACTTTCAGCTGCTGGGCTGGTCGATGATATCACACGTCAATGGGACAACTTGGTCAAAGTTACTGACCGAACGCAGGTGATCCCAGGCACATTGCTTGCATGGAAGGTTCGTTTTGGTAATTCTGCCCTTACTTGCTTACTCATATCTTTCTCCCTAGGAACTGGGCATAAACCCGTCTACATTTACACCTGAAATGCTAGTCAAGGTTGGTACTGTGGTGAAATTCGCCGACGACAAGGTTGTGCTGGAGCAACAGACGGACTCAAATGAAATGACATTGTCTTTTGGTGGCGCGGTTATGGACGAGGACATAGCTCTGGAACCAACTCTTCTTGAAGTTGGATGGGACCAAATCGCCGGGGGTGACTATAAGTTCTACATTTCATCATGATATACTACTGTACTGTACAAGCTACAGCTAACTGCTAATTTAAAAAGATGTGCTACATCGTACAATACTCAGAAGGTTGTGATATGAGTGTTACCATTTCAATGCTTCAAAAAGAGGGTGAGGTAAAAACATTACTGCAAAATAGTGGAGAGGGGAATACGCAAATCGAACAAGTTCAAAAGGTCAAAGAGGTTGTCGCAGGCGTTAATGCAAAGATGGAGAGTGAAACTGTATTATCAAGCTACAAAAGTGAAGTATCCAAGTGGGGAGTTGTCGTTTGGCGCAGGTGAACATGATTTTGCTTGCCCTTTGGGACTCTCAGCCACGCCGACAGACTTTTTAGGATGGAAAGAGTGCTTCTGAATGTCTAGCGGAGAGGCTAGAGTAATCGCATCCGATGCCCGCAGTCCTCGACAAGCGAGCATCGATAAGGGAGAGGGTGACAAAGGGGCACTGAGTCGGTAGGAAAGGCGTCTAGGAAGAGTAAATGGCAGGCGACGAGGGGTCTTGCGTGCGGAGGATGGAGATGGAGGCTTTCCCAATCGTGAATAAGGAGGACTCGGGGTCATACCCATCTTCAAGCCACTAAGTCGTTGGGTCAGATCGAACGGATAGACGTCACCCTCCAGCGAAGCATGAAGAGTAGGAGTATCCAAAGGCGTGAATGGCAGATAGGGAGAAACCGCCATGGGATCTCTGACCGTGGAGCGGCCAGGATGGATCGACTTGATAGTATCGATGTTGAGCTTGAGTTTACCCGTTGGTTTACAAGTTGCGTCTTGAGTCTGCGGAGGAGGATTATCGGGTGTATGCATGATTTGAGTTACAGGGGTGACCGGAATCGAGCCGGATGTCACAGTTGTCGGAAGAAAAGCATTAGAGGAAAGAGAGGGAGGAGGCAATGCGGTTGGAGTGGAGAAAGTTGGAATCGGAGGTAGGTCAACGAGACATCGTAGCGCGGGCCTGTTCGAAGCCAGTCTGCGACGAGACATCGAAGCTGGCGGTTTGACATTGGAAGAACTAGTCACAGGGCCCTTTGAGAAGGAAGTTGTGTTGGAGTTTGGTTGACGTCTTTGGGGATGCTTGGCGGGGTTACGCGACTGCAGCCTTGCGAACGCTGTACAACTCGTGAGGATGCGAACAGAAGCGCATGAATGCACAGATGCACAGATGCAAAGATGCGTACACTTCTTACGAGAATTCTTGACAAATCTCAAATAAGCAGTGAGTTGCTTGGAGCGGACTTCCGATCCCGTCTTCTCCATGATGTACGTTTGAAGGAATCGCAATCTTCGCATTGTAGTAGCTGTTCGACCACAAGAACGAATCCGCTGCAAAGCTAGTAAAGGTATAAATAGAGGTTAAAATAGCATATAATTCTAGTATACCTTCTAAGCCTGCTGTACCCTCGCCTGAGTTGAGGTTGAGGACGGAGCGGGCACGCTTTGATCCACCGGGACGAGCAAGGCTTCGGACGAAAGGCATGTTGCAAAGGAGGCCGTTGGGAACAAGGTACAAATTATAAGATTATAAATATTTGATACTTGCTGAAAGGCGAAGGTCGGACGCGAAGGAGAGGGTTTGGTAGTGGTTCGGTTTCAAGAAGTTCTGCTTGACTTGCTTGCGATGACGAAAATGGGAGCATGTCACACGTACACGTGATTTGTGACATACGCGTTTTGACGCCTCCGTGTGACATGGCGGAGACCACAGAGTCCGAATCGTTATTTTCGATCCTCAACTCTGAACAACTTCTGCATTTCTCTGTTCTCTCTGTGCATCATATACAATGGATGAACCAAAGAAGGCTTTGCTTAGGCTAAAACAAACTCTGCAACGTCCCAAGAAGAAAAATAAACAGACCGCACAATGCATCCAAGCAATTGAGCATGTAGAATCACACTTGATCTTACTCGTAAGTTTATGCAATTAAGTAGAAAGTTTGTATACTGCATCTCTGATGCAATCTCTACGTTAGAAATCGTCTATTCTGACTCCACAGTTGTCCGAAAAACTGAGCGACTGTCTTCGCCTACCTCTCCTTCCTATATATGCAGAGTACCCTCCACTGACGTTGGAGTTCACTGCAGCATTGTCCAAGTTTCTTTACAGCGATAAGATTCTCCCCGAATATGCAGCGGGAAACGACAACCAAAGATCACGATATGAAACTGTTCTGAATTTCTTGTTATCCGGCGTTCTGGTATGTTATATGCGTGTCGCATCATTGATTCGGCTCTGAGCCACTTGTTCTAAGGACTTCCTAGACGATCACGATGATAGTAAGCTCCTTAATTAAGTTTTATAATTTGCTTGGCTCATAAGTCCTAACGTGCCAGCAACAACTAAGGACGCTATAGGGACCTCATTGTACCCCGTTCTATGCTCTTTCTCCTTTTCACTCTCGATGCCAGCTATGAGTGCTCAGCTGCGTTTCACAGTGAGTCTGATGTCTCGACCTAGTCATGACCGCAGCTCAGAGTACTTATACAATCAGGTATACACCTTGCTCGCGGAGTCAGCGTCAGCACACAAAGCGAATCAAGACCGACTTCGAGATGTTACTGTGGTTGGCGGGTGAGTGCCATTTAATGTCTCGAGATCGGGCATCTTGAACAATGCCGCATATACTCAGGTCAAAGTTGGGAATGCAAATTTGGCGAACCAAAGGTAGCGTCAAATGATGTCACTCTAGAGCATAGATTCATAGTTTATGATCAGATTTCTTGGTCCTTGAATCGCTTCTCAATCTGTTCGCTCGGATGATGCCTTCGACTAACAACACTTTAGCTGGACGTTCTTCTCGGCTAGCTTTCATTCGATCCGTTTTCGGCTCGTCCCCTGAGAACCAGGCAACAGGCGAGGTACTAGTGAAGATGTTAGAGCACATATCGACCAGGGATTGGGAACCGACTGCCGTGAAGATCCTCGAGACCCTAGCGTCGTCAAACATAGCATTGTGGGTCAATCTAACTAGCTTTCGTATGAACTCAGACTCATGTATTTGATAGCCCCCAGCCGTTTGCTATTACGGAGGTCATTGCCTCTGGTCAAACGAAGCCGTCTGACCGTCTGTATGTGGACGATAAAGGATTCTGCGCCAATGTCGTAATCGAGGTAAGCTGCTATGTGCCATACTCTGACTATATGCGCTATATTCAGATATATGTTTTCATAGGAGGACGTGTATGAATCGTTGGAAGTCCCCTACGCGATAACGGTCAAGATAGAACTATTATTTCATTCAGTGGGAGGCAAGGAGCTTCCAAAGCCTATGGTCGTTATTCACACAAAGGGTCCACCGTTGGTGGGGGCGAAACCCATGTCACAGACTGAACAGGTGCAGGATCATAGTCTTTCCTTCTCCGTCGAGAGAGATATGGTTCCTAGATTTCAAGAGGCTTTGCATAGCCGCGGACTGGTGCGACTAACCTTATTCCTTGGAATGCTACCTACTAACTGAACACCTCCAGGGGAAACGTCTCCGTGTTGAGAGACCGCGGAAACAGTCCGTTTCAGCTTCAGCCGCTATACTCGAGATTGATTCAGCAGGAGGACTTCTTGGAAAAGATGAGGTACGTTTATTCATTCTTCCCCATTACAACAGTTTGCCAATCGTCGTTCTTTACAGAGATATGAAAACCTGTCACAATGTGAGTCGTCTACTTGTATATATATTCTACTGGCTGACATTGATGGTAAGTTTACGGTACCAACGAGCCCAGTGATGATACCGTGCCCACACCAGATGCCAAGGCTAGTATTCTTGTCCCTCTTGAGACTCCTCGCTCTGTGTCACCTGCTCGTACTGCTCGAACATCTCATAACATATCTGTCGCTCCACCAATGCGTAAGAATCTTATTTCAAGCGACACCAAGACATACAAAGGCAAAGGGCCCCAGGCCAAAACTTGTTCTCCAGAGATTTCTGATTATCGGGCTCGTTCTCCATCTGGTCATAGCCTTACAGGAAAGCCTGCGAACGTTAGCGGCGATGTTATCAAATCTCTCCGGCGTACTTTTTTGCAGGAGCTTCGAGATGCTGCCTTTGGAACTAGTGATGAAGAATTATCAGAAATCGAACACACGCCGGAACCTGACCCCGGACCTACGAGGTCTACTACCAAAGTCGCTTCGGAGAGTATCAACCTGAAGAAGACCGTCCGACTGATTTCCACCAAGATCATATTAGATTCGGACGACGATGCAAATGAACCGAACCGCGTTACTGTCAATAGGACTGCCAAGAGGACCGCTATCAGGAAGAATACTATGCTCTCCGACGATGACATTGAGGACTCATTTCCTTTAGCTTCAAAGATTGCCCCTCTCACTCGTCGCCTTAGTCTTGCTGCTGCTCCTAAAGCTTCTCTCAAGCGTGTTGTTTCCGTCTTGAGCTCTGTATCGATCGATATCCCTGCTTCTGCGGTCGCTCGACCTACCGAGGTCACTCATATGCTTGCCGAATTGCCCAGGACTTCACCTCCGGCTGCTGTAGTGGCTGACTCGTTACCTGATCCTAATGTGAACAATCTCCCTGCTACTCCTATCCGCTCGACTACGCCTGTCTTGAGAAATAGCCCTGGGTTTCGTCAAAAGAAAGCCGTGGTATATTTCAAGGGCGACAGGCAACCCAATATCGAGGAGATTGGTGAGTTGAAATCTCTCGTTTATGTCATCTCTGAGAGGGATACTTTTGTTAGCTTTTTCCTGTTCTTCTCCGGTCCCTCAGCCTAAGTTAGTGAAAGCCCGCCTGCGCAAGAAGGACGGCACATCTGCCATGATTACAAAATCCAATACGGCGTCTCATATAGCTACTTCTAAGAGGAAGCGCAAGCAAGCGGACGAAGACGATCAAGATCTTGATGCTCAACTGCGGAAACCACCTAGCAAGAAATCTCGAACGGAGCCTCAATGCGATACTGATGTGGAAGGTGCCGTACCTCCTGAACGAACTGAGTCCCAGATCCTCCGTCCTCGCAATACAGCTGTCCTCCGAGCAACTAAGCGATACGGCGGCAAGAAACTTAGGACGTCCTCTCCAGTTGTTCCTTCGCACGACGTTGACTACGATGCAATTCCGAATGACTCTCCTTCCGCAACATCTCCTGAGGAGAAGAGCTCCAAACCCGAGCCTCGAGCACGTTCGAAGATCCCTGAAAAGAAGAAAGTTGCGAAATCTCAGAAGAAACCTCAGCCGAAACCCAAAGCACACCTTCCATTGCCTGCAAAGCTCACTGTGGCTGTAAACGAAGACCGCGCAAGCACTTTGACGAAGACTCTTCCTAGAACTCGCTCCTCAACGAAGGCTATTACGATGAAGTCGGAAACTCACATCGCAGATGGTGATAACGAATCTGTGGTCCTGGCGTATGACGAAGTGACACATCCTATAAACGATTTAACCGTGTATGGCAGCATTGAAGAGGTGGGGGGCGCTACGCATATCGCTAATATGACTGACTGGCGGATGTTAACAACCCTTGCAATCAGCAGGCCGATCACGACACATCCGAGAGAGCCGAGCATTCCACTGCACAATCACATCAGAATGTAAGCACACAGTCCAGACCCTGCGGTCAGTACTGACTATCGTACAGACTTCATCGGCTAAGAAACCGGGACAGCCGCACGATGCTGCCAAGTCACACGCTGCTTTCGTAGGGTCCATTGCTGATATGACTGACAATCAGCTGCCGGCTCGTCCTCTGACGGATGTGACGAGTGACCCTCAAGAAGCCCATGACGCCACTCTGGTGGGCGTTGAGGCACCTGTCGAAGAGCCTCCCTTCCCTGCCAGCAACTACCATTCCATAGAAGACAATGCAGTTCAGTTGGAAGGCGAATATTCGACTGACGTGACGAATACGGTATATATCGTATGAGCATCATGGACCTTACTCCTGACATTTGCTGTAGGAATTTACTACGGACCCTTCAAAGAGAAACTCTCTCAGCGTACCGCCACCTCCGGAAGAAAAGGTTGTCAAGGTTGAAAAGCCTACCCTCGCTACTGTACCTGCAAAGAGTGGAACGGTGGAATCAGAGGACGACATCACCATGATAGATCTGACCCTTGACGAACCTCTTCTAAAACCGCTTCGCGATCTGTACGATCTCCGAAATCCTGCCTCTGTGCTCGACAGCCCCACTAGAGGCATTCTCAAGGCACGTCCTCAACCAGCTCTTTCTGTTGGAGAGATGGCGCAAGCACCAATGAGCAACCACGGCAAACCATCAGTCACTTTCTCTGCCGTACCCGATGGACGTGAGAACACCAACGGAGCCTTGAAGTCCACGATGGTTACTAAGGTTGTTTCTGCAAGGTCATATGGCAGTAAGTAGTTCGCAAGTTGATTGATCGTAAAGCTCTGCAAAACGCTATTTTAGAGTCTGACAAGAAATCTCTAATGCTGGAGGCAGGAAATGGGGACCCATCCTGCCGCAAGCCGCCACCAGGTATTGAGGAGCTCGCAGACGTCCTAGATCGTCTAGGTGACGTGAGTAATGGTTTTCTCATCAGGGCTTTTCTTTGAATAGTCAGCGGTTAATAGACGATTCTACGCAAAATCTCTGGCAAAGTCGATGGTGTGCGAAATGAGGTAAAGGTTAGTTGCGATAGGTTGCTTCTGGATGCTATAGGAGATCTTGAGAAGATGCGAGCACAAAGGTTTGCATTTCTTACACCTTATGCGGGTCTGTGCTCATACGTACGTTACAGCGTTGAGCGGTTCAACATGCTCATCGGGTTGGAGGCTGAATATGCCACCTTCGGACGAAGCCTGACGCATGTCTTCCACGATCTTATCAAGGTCGGTGTGTCAACGAACGAAGATCTGAAAAGAATGTTGGAGCTTCATGATCGCACTATATTGGGAAATAAGGTGCCCAAATCATTGTTTTCTGGTAATTTGCCTCAGAGTATCGTGAAAGGCAAAGCACGATAAAATCCTTGCGTCAAGTATTGTACGTCTAACAGACTTGTCAAAGATCTTTGAAGCCAAGATGTCAGATGTGCATTCCGAGGCTTTTGTTCTGTAGTCCAAGAGAGTCTTCCGTCAATCGCTGCAGACTTCCGTCAGCAGTCATAGAAAGATAAGGTCAGACCATCCTACCTTGAGTCAGTCTTAGCATGAATACTATCCAAAGCTGTCTACAGAGTGAGTGTCGCAACAGCGATGTTTCAATGATGGGCTCGGATCTGTGACCTCATTCATTCATTACAAATAATCAACTTGAATGGGATCCGGCATCTGAAGTAGATACATGATAACATAGAGATCCAATCGAGTCAAACAGATTGTCAACAACAAAGAAAACAAAAGCATACACATGTACTGGACTATTCTCTAAACTAGACGGACGACCGAGGTTGAGAAACAACCCCGAAAGAAGTGGTGAATGACTGAGGCGGGGGAACCTCCTGTACTTGAATGCGAGTCCGACGAGGGTGACGGCAGGAACCAGCACAGTACCTGTCATCCTCATCGCGTACAATGCGGCATTATCTCCTCCACCCAATGTAACGTGACTATCGATGAATACATCAGACTCAGCGGCGCCTACCTGAGTTGACGGAGTGTTCAACACCATACGAGAGTGGCGACTCCCCGTACCAGACACGTCAGAATGGCGTGTGGGATGGGGTGGCATCTCGTTGGCCAGACGATGGCGAATTGGCAGTAAAAGATAAGTTAACAGAGGTCTTCGTCAATGTCATCACCATTGCATCATCATTCGCACTATCGCAGATGTCCGAGTCCAAGTGTTCTTCAGTGATGCAGACATCAGCCAGCCCTGATAGGACTCAAATCAATTTAGAAATGAGCAGGTAAAAACCATTCAAAACTTGGAGTTAATCTGAAGTTCATCTGGTGTATATATATGACTATTATCTAGATACATGCATTAACAATGTGCTAAAGAATACTTATGGTATCAGTCTGTTAGAATTAAGAGCAAGCGCGCAGTGCGAGTTGGGTGACAAGCGAATGAGTATGTTGGTATACGTCGGGTTTGTCCCCTAGAGTACGTACAAAGGCAGGCAAATGCGTGAGGAGTCGACTACGTTACGCTACACTATATAGCTACTACGGGAGCCTGAAAGGTCTGAACGCGAGATAGTGGCAGCGGCGCGACCATGCAAGTTCACTTGGCGCCCAGGATTTCAACACAGTCAGGTTCGAGCATGGATCAATCAGTGTGTTTGGGTAGGTTTTAATAAGTGGTTACAAATGAATAATATGAGGGAAAGGTATTGAAATACATGTCGCATGGGAGGAATGCGAGTTGGTACATTTGACCTCGTTGAGCTCTGAGGCAAACAGATGGGGTACATACAAAGTAAGTAAACTACTTATATACTAGAAAATATGCCAAGTATGTGGGACTCCATTCCGGTCCTCTCATTCCTTGCATAGCGAATGCTCGCCGCTTCTACTATATTCCAACAAAAGGTGTGTTTGTAGATCTGAAATGAATGTGATCATAACAAGCCCAGTGAGTTCAGCATTTTGGGGAGCCAGTTCACAACATGGAATAGAGAGTGCTATCTGCTGAAGATGAAATATGACAATAACTTGGTACGGACAGAAAAGAGTTGAAAAGGTATAAAAAAGTTGAGACTTAGCAAAAACTAAGTTACGATAATTCTATATTCATAGCAAGTCAAGAAATAAAATCAAAATCAAAAGTGAAGGGTAGTATCTAGTCCTATTGGTAAGGAAATATTAGTAACTCTTTCTAACCTGAAATTATACTGGGCACAGTGGATGAACGTTAGTCAGACTGGAGGCTCAGTTGTTCGAATTGATGGTAAATTCCACTGAATATTCAGAAGACTCTGCCTTGCTACTCAAATGTCTGAACTTGAACTTAAACTGAAAATAATGTCCTCTACTTGAAGAATTCTATGCTAAACTCTCTCTAATAGACTCTGGTGACTCTGTGTCTGTGGATATCTCTGAATGCTCTGATGGCTTCTGTAACTTCTGAGTGAATACTGACTGACTATGCAATCAATGACGATGTGAATGCTGATAATGACTCTCTGATATTGAAAGATACTTTCTTCAAAGAGTCATAGAATTCTGAAAAGTTGTAGAGTGAAAGTCCTGCTTGACTTGCAGTCTACTGAGCTGCTGGTAAGATCACTGTTGACCTTGTTGATGCACACAAGTGAAAGTCCTGCTTGACTTTCAGGTATAAGTATAAGATATAAACTCTGAACTGTATTACTGGGGTGAGACTGTATACTGAGACTATAGTGGTCTCAGAAAAAGATGTCTGTTCCCCTTCTGCCCTCTAGTGGACAGCTTATATACTAAATTATAATACAAATTTCTATCAAATTTACAGAGAGATTAATAAGCAAGCAGAAAGTCTGAGAACATTCTAGCATCTTCTGGCACCTTCTTCAAAGTGCTATAAGTCTTCAGAAGGTTCTACAACCTTTCAGATCATTCTATCATATTCTACTCTATTCTAGTCCTTTCAAATAGCTTCCAGAATGTTCTACAAGCTTTATAAGCATTCTACAAGGTTCTAAACTAATCTATAAGGTTCCAAACTATTCTAAAATTCTGCATAGCCTTCTTTCTCTCCTGACTATATATGATTTCATCTTTATTCCTTGCATATTGTATAAATGGGCCTTATTTCTTAGGAGACTACTTATTTGTGCTTCTTTACTTGGTAAAATATCTCAAATATTCATTCAGACAGTAGACTCAGATTCAATCCAAATACACATTTATTCCCACTATCTGCTTTTATAGAATTGACCAACAAAGCTATGTCCTGAATGTGGATGCTCGTATATGAAGCAATCACGCATAGGAACTTGAATGAGCTGTGATGTAGGCTCAATTGTACGCTCTAGTCACGGAGTCTGTCATAAGAACTAAGGAGTAGTATAGAATGATGGTGGCTTACCTGTAATGAAGGCTTCAGGTCTCGAGTGATCGATCCATCTCATAAGGATCAACAATATCCATCACAGTACTCTCCAAAATAACAACAACAGCTGCAAGTGATGTGCAATCACCAGGATCTTGTGTGCTCTATCTTGACTCTCAATCGTCAACACTGCTCTGTTCCTCTGATACACAACTCTTGAAATGCACCTCAAGAACTCCACATTTGCACTTGCTAACATGACGTAGCCATGTGTTGGTATTACCATCAGTCCATCAATCGTGTTCTCGGCAATTGAGAAGATGTGTGATCCTGATCGAATTATGACAGGGATAAATGGGACTGTATATGGGTTTACGACTTCTTCAGTGGACATGGCTGTAATGGTGTAAGTGGGTTCTTTCGGATATTGCTGAACATGTGTATTTTTGAATAAAAATAATTACATCTTTAGTGTCATGTCTAAGTATTATTTCATTATATATTTTCTTTTATTGAATTTTATTACTCATATTGTGAGTCTTCTTCAAATACAAGGTTACAGGAATCTGTCCTGTCTATGTACCAAACCAATTTGGTGCAGGACAATGCCAAGCTGCTGCACTCAACTGGCACCCACTAAATTGAAGTGCCCATGAGGACCTCCGATAATACACTGAATGGCCATTCAGCTGTCCTGAGAAAAATTGGGGGTTCAACAGTTGAAGGCCATTCAAAATTTCAATACTTTGACCCATAATTAGGGGCTATGCCATGTCAGAGTCCCAAGAATTTTGAGGAGGTCACTGCAGAATACTCGAGAAATATGGTGTCAAGGAGGTGTCAATTGTAATATTACTTGAACAATGACAAAGCATAACTCATAACCCTAGTCATCGAGCTGTCAACAAATCATCAGAGATCCATCTCATTCTGAAGGAGGTTTAGGCCTATCATGCATGTACCGGCATTGAGCATGCTACACCATGGCAAGGACAGCCGGCAGCTAAACTATCTGATAATTCAAAACATGTCAAGGTTGTTGCCAAAGTGTATTTAAAGTTTCATTCAGGGCTTGACAGATATATTAATAAAACTCTACAGGTTCCCAAGAAGCATGCTGCACTTTTCTCCACTGCTCAGGCCTCAAGTTTCTAGTAACCTCAGATATGTCAACACTGCTAGAATTTCACTTCACAAGGTACTCAATGTGGGGGTCTTATGGTATTATGTTCCCAAGTCAAGGAAACATCATCATTGATCGAGGTCTGTACCTGTATCACTATCTTGCCCCTATCCTAACAGCCTTGAAACTTGACTAGTGATTGTCCTATATTCAAAATCTGATGGACAACATGGCAAGCATACTGCAGTTGATGCTGCCACTTCAGTCAGAAGTGTCTCTTCACTAGAGTGTTTCAGCATTTTGTTGATAGATGCTTCCTATGCAGGATGACATAGTTCAATATGCAGCAATTTGACTTCATTCCGGCTTTCACTTTTCTCAGTCTCATTGGCACCCCTTTATGAAAAGAAGGCGCAAACTGTCTCATCTTACCAAAGAATGGACTTGATTTCACCTCTTACCATGACTTACAATGTGCACGGGCTTGTATTGGCAGGGCTATGAAATTATCATACAAATACAAGAAGAAAGGTGTTCAAGTTGAGGAGGAGGATGAAGTTTAGGAAATGGGACCACATACATAGTGATAATCTTGGTACTTTTCATGCAGGATAGTGAGACCAATTTCAAAAGACAAAAATTGAAAAAAATAACTCTTTTTCAGATGCCGTCTACATCATCCCAAGAAATTTCAACCATTTTTGTGAGGCTGTCTGGAATTCTGAGAAAATCAGCCAATCGGCTGCCAGGCCTGTCCCGAGAAAAATTGACCCCCTTGTAGATGACATTTTGGTGTATTATCGGAAGTCCTTGCCTATGCCACCCAGATGCCACCAGAAGCTGATATAGATATGGAACTCTGGAACTCAGAAAATTCTTCTTTCCTCTGTATGAGGCACACCTGGAGTCCGAAATACTCTATTGATGGTAAAGAGGCAGATTCTAACATCGCCGCCAAAAAAAAACCAGCAAATCTGCTTGACAGATGCTCAGAGCTGAGATTCTAGTG